TTACGAGGAAAACTAATGGTAAGATGCCAGCAGTTAACAGGCGGGATCTGATATCGCGGTGGAAAGGCGTGAACACGGCTTTCAAAAAAGTGAAACCCGTTCCTATTTTAGATGTTTGGAATCTAGAGGAGAAGACAATGACCCTGCTAAAAGACAGGGATACGATCTCGGTTAATGATTTGAAAGTGGGACCCAAACAAGAAGAATCTTGAAGCTGGTTCTCGGGAATTTTGAAGAAAGAGATATAATATTGAATATCGCACACAAAACTCGTGATTCAGATATTCGTATCCGACCAGATTGACTGCCTGAAATCGAATCGAGTGGGAAACGCTGTAACGGAGTTAAGGACTCGAAACCTAAATGGCGAAACGATCCTTGCGGTTAAGGGTTTTCGGGTAGTTAGTTCTTGGAAGCCAATGCTTCCGAGGCCTGTATGAGTAGAACGAATGATTCCAAAACACCTTAAGTGTGTGCTACACGAACGCCCGTAGTCTTAGAAATCAAATCTCCGAGCCAAGTCTGATGGTGGATGAATTAAGTCACGATATAATCGTTGTTACATAAACTTGGTTCACCGTAGATATAGAATGTTCTACCATCATTGCAGGCTATATCTGTATTAGAAGTAACAGATTTTTAAGTCGCAATGGGGGAGTGATGATTTTATACATAAGGTATCACTTTTACACACAATCAGTCATATCGGAGGCGCATGTTAGTGGTACTTGTGAGGTAGCATGTTGTAAAATTGAATCTAGAAATGGGTTAGTGACTATAAGAGGAATATACCGTAGTCCGTGTTGTCTTGCTAACGATTTTATCTTAAGACATATCTGTTCTTGGAGTAAGGCAGAATGTTGTCTCATCATTGGAGGCTTCAACATACCACATATCGATTGGATAGAGCTTACATCTCCAGGTGGTGGTTTTGACAGCAACATTTTATCAACCATTATTGAGTGTGCACTTGTACAATGTATCGCAAAACCGACACATACTGACTTGAAACATGGTCCGTCGCTGCTGGAACCCGCCCTCATCCTTAACTGTGAGGATGTATTTGATATTCAGCACCTTCCCCCACTAGTGAACGGTGATCACATTGTACTTTATTTCAAATTTAGAACATATGGTATACGATTTGTATCTGCTCCACCCCGTCCCAATGTCTGGCGAGCCAGTATTCCGGCAGTCAGAGACTGTTCTATCTCTAGCGATTGGTCGGTCGACGCGGATGCATCGATCGAAGATGAATGGAATAAGTTTAAGGCTGCATTCGAGTCCGTAGCGTCACTGTTTATCCCATGGTCAGTACGTAAGTTATCACATCCCCTCCATGGATTAACAGGGAACCCGGAAACTGTTAAAGCGTAGAAAGCACTTCTAGGACTTATTTTTGTTGACAGGTAACGCATCATTTAAGCGTCAGTACTGAAAATTCCGGAATATTTGTAAGAAAACCATAACTAAATCCCGTACTACTTACGAACGGCAGTTGGTATATTATAGCCGTACTTGTCCGAAACGATTGTTTTCGTATGTTAAACGGCGAATAAGACGTAGTAATGGTATTCACCCGTTACTGGCACACGAAAATTCAGATTTACTAGCTGAATCATATCGAGCAAAACCTGATACATTTTAAAACTATTTTAGCGAAGTGTACTCTACGTGTATTGTTACAAATACTTGTCCTAATCACAACGACATACCAGACATAAGATCTGTACGTGTGACTGAGGAAACTGTTCTTCCATTGATAACTAACATCAAACCTTGAAGGATACCGGGCCCTGCCGGTTTCATCCACGGCTGCTGTCATCTCTTGCAGAAATTATTTAAGGGTCGCTCATGAGGCTCTTGAACATGTCCCTTTCACTCGCTCAACTCCATAGAGATTGGAAAGACGCTGTGGTCAGTCCTGTATTTAAGAACGATCGGAGATAGATCGTGTCTAAATACTGGCCTGTCAGTCTAACCATCATAGTCGTTACTTGAAAAGAAGATTCGGGTTAAGTTACTAAGTCACATAGGTTCACACATTCTGTTAAACATGGGTTTCGTGACAAGCGTTCATGCTTGACCAACTTACTTATTGCGTGAGAGGACTGTATGTCCATGTGATATTCATAGATTTTTAGCAAATCGTTTGACAAGGTTTCACACTCATGTTTCATGAAGAAGCCCTGGAGCTCCGGAACTACAGGTGCTGTACAGGAATGGATGGGAAACTTCTAATGTGAACGCAGACAGAGAGTGAGGGTCAATGGAACGCTATCCGAATGAAAGCCGGTCAAAAGTGGTGTGCCCCAAGGCACCATCTTAGGCCCTCTACTTTTCCTTCTGTATGTTAACGAATTACCGATAGGGCGTAAGTCGTTGGCATTGTTGTTTACGGATGATGTCAAGATCTGGAGAACAATAGGAAGTGAGGCTGAACATTTTGATCTCCAAGCTGACTTAGATGAATCAGTTAAATGGGCTCGAAGTTGGGGCTTAGAATGTAATTCTGGAAGAGTGTGCTCATGCACATACGACACGGCAATATTTACCTTTATACTAATGATGGTACATCACTTCCACGCGTTCAAGAACATAAAGACTTAGGAGTAAGAATAAATCATAACTTGGAAACAACTACGCATTGCAACGCAACTGTTGCCAAAGGTTATTGTGCGTTATGATCACTTCGCCGAGCATTCAGATGCTTTGACGACAAAATGTTTCAAATTTCATATCCCACCTATGTTAGACCACACTTAGAGTACTGTATCCAAGCAACTAACCCATGTCTGATAAAGGATGCTAACTTACTTGAGCGTGTTCAGCGTGTGGGAACAAACTCCTTTATGATGAGCGCTTGAAACGCCTAAAACTTTTCCCCTTGTCTTATCGTATGATACGAGGTTACCTTATACTGGCACTCCGTATCCTTAATTATGACTTAAATGTTAATATGTCTTATATTTCTGCTCCCTCCAGCACTAATAGTCTCCGAGGTCATAGCAAGAAAGTCCACAAACCGCGATCTAAACTTAAAGTGGGGTCCCGCTTTTCTTATCGAGAAGTCAATGACTGGGATGCCTTAATCGAACAAGTGGTATCAGCCCCATCAGTGAGTATTTTGAAGGAGAAGCTGAACCGAACCAATCACAATTGCGATAGCTAACTTGAACATTGGGAGTGAAATTCAAAGGTATTCGGAATTGTACACTATTAACGTCTAGTCTTGAATATCAGATTATGTCAAGCTAACGTTTGAGTTATCATTAATTACTGTCAGTCACTCTCATTACTGAACGTAAGTGCTTACCAGTAAGCTCTTTTCTTTTCCAGACTCTCATATGACTCCTCACACCTCAGCACATATGCGTATATTCAAGTTAGATTAAAACCTCCCAGAGTGAACGATACATCTGTTGTAAGATTTACGTGGTATATACGCTGGATATGGTGAAATACGCAGTCAGTTACGTTTGTATCTTAGCGATCCACGACTCATTTGACTCCCATGCAAAACATATTATAAATAATTATTTATAATGTTTTGCATGGGAGTGCTTTAAAGCACCGAATGTTATGTATTATAATGTTGGGAATTAGTGGAACTAATTTGTACAGAGCGTCAGTGCATACCTTGGAAATTTCTTAGAATAACTGTGAATCATTTTTTCATCTCATCTTAAAATCATGGGGTTTATTATAGTCTGGTAGTTTTGCGTTCAGCATCAAATGCATCCATATCAATTCAGATAGTGTGAATGGATTTGGTCGGAATGGAAGTTTTCTAACTAGGCTCCATTTGACTCCATCTGACGTACGAATGTCCCCTCTACGTTTCGTATCGAAGTTGAACTCAGGTAATTGCTTCAGGGAATGTTGAATGAGATTTTGTGATTTTAGTCACTTTGAGGTTGCGTTTCAGTATTATTTATTTCAAGAGGTATTGATGCAGTATTTTTAAACTTTGAATACTTTCCAAATGAACCTTTTTGTTGAAAGAGAAAACATCATTCTTTTGTTAATTGAGGCTGCACAGAACTAAAATTATGTGGAAACGCTTGCCATCTAAGTGGCAAAAATACTCATCAAAGTTACTAGTGAAAGGTTGGCTCTGACGGCATTTTCGTCAAAGTTAACATACAATTCTAGATCATAAAGAACCAAGACACTTAAATCGTTTCCTGTTAATGAATATTAATAAAGAATTATTTGTTGTACGTGTGTTTTACATTATCCCACTGATGGACTACCCCTCAGAGTTAGATGTTGATCCATTGTTATCTCATTCTCGAAGTCGAGTTGGATATTACTGCAGCGCCAATCTATCTTGGATTTAGACCTCTTTCCAAAACATTAAATCATCTGCAAAAAGTTTTTCATTCAATTTTATTTTATGCAGTGTTTAGTTCGTTCAAAACTAAGGCGCCTCCACGTTACTTATACTAATATCAGTCTTGTTGATTCTAATGAGGAATCCTGTCTGTTTTCTTGATTTAGATTATTGACAAATTGCTTAATAGACTGCCAGTATGACCTGCCGAAAATGACGCCTAGCTTAGCTCTCTATGGATCTACTGTTAGCTCTGGTTTACAAAGATATGGCGTAAAGTTGTTATAAGAAGTTTTGCTAAGGAGAAATGGCACACTATGAAACTTTATGACAGGTCCAGTTCTCCAAAGCAGCATGTGTTGTATCAGCTTTTAAAATCTTAGTAAATCAATAAATTCTCAGAGGTCCTTTACTTTTAGAAATCTCGACTTTTGGGTGGACTTGGACGTTAAGGCTTTTCGGAAGTCCGTGCTCATTCTAATCAGCAATCAAGTTCAACTTTGTACTTTGGCTTTAATCTACACTGTTTAAGGTAATATTAATAACCGCTGCATAAACTGAAGTAAAGCTAGGTTCATATTTGGAACCTGGTGGTTGAGCGTCAAGTGTTTTAAATCCCCTTCATATTTGCTAAGTGCATAATGATCCTAAGACTTATTCAACTATGTACTGTCAGGTATTAGAGGTGGATCATTTGGATCTGATTACTACTTTACCTGTTTAGAACTACGTATTTTCTCTGGTAAGTTAGTCATAATAATTTGTAGAATCCTAATTTCCCTATTTTATAGAAGATTTTGTCCGTTTTGGGTAAATTTTGGGGAAACTGCAATAAAAAACTTTAAGGAAATGACACAAAAATCCTAAAATTTCCTGAGGTCTGGGAAAAATCCCCAAAATGTTTGAGGAAATTTAGGGTTTTCCCCAATGTTTTCACAGAATCTTATAACACTTGGGTTTTCCCTAAAACTTGGAGAAAAGTACCATATTCCTTACGACTTCGGGGAAAACCCCAAAATAGGGAGATTGGGATATTATCAACCAAGTCGCAATCCACAACCACCACAATGTATGAAAGCTGGCTTCCTTCTGCATACATTTTGCTACTTAAAATTTGAAAGTGACTGAGGAGTTTGTGCGAGCATCCCATTCGACGGAAAAATATTCCGCGGTAGACTGTATCGACTGGATCACATGAGTTAGTAACCAAGTTGCTAGCAACGACAGTGTGCGTAATAAACTGAACAAGATGATATGCTTGGTTGAATCTGCACGTATGTGAGTCGTTGTTACTTTTCGGCAGCTCACCCCTTGAAAAGAAATCTTTTTATGCATCTAAAGAGGTTGGATTAGTGACCTTGACGGCCTTGGAACGTGACTGACTCAACGAAATAGCTACTTGAGGTCGGTTACATACAATCTTAGTTGTGGCAGCTGTTAGATATGTTAGCTCTGTACTTTTAAACCATTGGCACCTGCACCATAAATCTCTATGGAGAGGTGTATTGCTCAATTTTTTCAGTCGACATTCTTAACCCCATTATATTTTAGTAATTCAAAATCATTGGATATGCCAGTCATTCGCTAAAAACACTGCTTCTGGTTAGATTCCAGTATAGTTTTCAGTAAGACATTGCCATCAGACTTTAAGTTATATGTTTTTGATCTTCTTGGTATTCGACCGACCTATCCGGCATACTAAAACCGGAAGGAACAATTGTTTCAGCCTATGCAACCTAATCGTGCCATCACGGTAGATTGGCTCAACCACCAAGTTAAAACAGCAGTCACGTTTGGAAACCACCAATGAGGACCTCTGCCATCTTGTATTTTTAATCACTTTCTTCTCATGGTTACCCGGTAGACATAAATTGGTCAGTTTTTTTATCATGGAATTTTCTTGTAATTTAGCATTTCTGAACTATTGTATTAAAGAGAATAAATAAGTCAAGATATCCTTAGTAGATGTTAATGACAGCTATCTATTAGCACTAACCTAACTTGTAATAAATCACCCTAGTTTTATTTGATCATTTGGAATAAACATTAAAGATTGCTTTTTCTGGTATAGGTATATAAAGTTAAAAATTTATTTACTTCCGTGCTTTATAAATATTTACTTTTTTCTTAAATTCTAGTTTCGGCTCATGGAAAAACCACCTCTCAGCAGCTCTTCGTTGGGATTTCCAATAGGCGTAATACAAATTCCGGTGTCATTGTCCGGTCTTACTGAAGTGGATGTTAATGGTTTGCCTAGATTACCCGTGTCAGTGACATGGTATGCAAGGTTTCGTCGGTTATTACATATCAAACATCATAACTTGTGTCAGTATCTCGATGTTGTCAGAGAGAAGGGAGAAATACTATCAGTTGTATGTGAGTACTACAGCACAAGTTTTTCTAGCTTCAGTGGTCCCGTCACTGACGTTAATTGGTTATCACAACGCTTTAGTGAATGTCTATCTGCCTTATCTTTTATGAGTGACAATGGTTTAGTGCACTGTTGTTTGACTCCTGATATGATTATGCTTGATTCTGGTGGACGTGTAAAAATTGGAGGCTACGGAATTTATTATGCTACAGATTGGGGAAATATAGCTGATTTTACCTTCCCCAGTCTCATGTATTCTGCTCCTGAGGTATTTTTATTTTTATACAATCAAGCCAATAATTCATGTCAACCAGAACGTTCAACAAAATCTGATATGTGCTGGACAAATATAAAAGCAGACGTATGGTCTTTAGGCGTCATATTTTTTGAGACAATATTTGGTAGGGAATTCACTAATCCATTACTTAAACTTCGGGGTGAAAATATGAAAGAAGGTGAAATAATTTCCTTGTATCTAAGGGGTCTTTGTCAGGCGAATGAATATCCAACATTACCTGAATTTTTACAACTTCATCTGAATGTTATATCTGCTGACCTGGACATCTTGGTCCAGCTTATTCAATGTTGCTTAAAGTTCGATGCAGTAAAGCGACCTAATCCTAAATGTCTTATGAAGGAGATCAACGAATTACTGAAAACTGACTGTTACATATCTTCCGATATAAGTGGTGACAAATATTCAACTTCCTGGTGTAGGGTGAGTTTACTCTCTTTATGTAAAGAATACTTGCTTATGCAGATTTTTGGTAGCTTTCCAGTCTGTGTCCTGAACCAGTTAAATTCGTTTCATTTCAATAAGAATGCAGATTGAGGCATTTTTGTTTATTAAGTTATTATAAGATATTATGTATAAAATTATGTTATAGAACAATGTCGCTACCCAACTTTTGTTGAAAAGATATTAAAAACCCAATGTTTTTAATCACTGAAATGAAATAGTCATCTTACTCATCTTCAAAAAGAGATTGCATAATTCATGTGCAAATCACTAGTGTTACCAGTTGTGCACAAATTATTTACTTGAGTAAAATAGTGTAGTCAATGTACCTACGTACAGAGTTAGGTCCCAACTGCTGGTCATCATCGATAGGTTTGGCAAAGTTTGCATAACATAAAGGGCATTAGTTAGTCATACCTAGCATGAATGTACGTCGAACCAAGCTCTCACAATTCATATTTACAAAGTGTAAGAGGAAATTAGTAAGATTGAAAACAACAGAATCAAAATAATATCAGTGTTAGTATTGTTTTGTAACTAAATATAGAAAATAAATTTCAAGAATTGTGAATGGAATAAAGAAATAAGAAGGGAACTCAGGATTTTATCGAAGAGGAATAATCAATCCATTGATGCCTCTGCAATCTGTCTCGAAGCATATCACGTGAGGTTTACAACTATAGGTTATAATTATTTCATGGACGCTAACCAGGATGTTCACATCCCACAACTTGGCTTAGTCCAATGGTGAGTGACCTTACTGACTGATCTAATGCCGTAGTCTGGCCTCCCCCAATATCACAACAGTTCATGAGATCAGGGAATACTATACTGAACTGTGTCATTAGATGTAAACTCTTCATTTTATCGGGATCTTCATTCCAGTGCTGTTTGCGTATTCCAAGTCGATAAGAGGATCTCTTAGGAAATACTCAATCCATGAGGAATATTCATAACAGTTGAATAAAAGTGTAGACAGTACATAATCTTTATGATTAGCTTCGAAAGGTAAATTACTGTAAGGTGTGTTCTGACACTAATTATTTGAGTAGTTTGATTTACTTGTTTGACACCTACTTCAGTGACAAGTGCTGTCATCAACTCTGTAGGTCAACATTTAAATTCAGTCCATAGGTCCATTATGGGTGAAATTTAACGACAATAATTGTTGGTGTCTCAAAATATGGCAAAAGATGGAGTTGTTTGACTAACTAGAGCAGGTCTTAAACTAAACCTAATTCAGTCAGTCAGTCAGTAACAACGTAGAACTTCGTACGTACGTACCTAATTAACTTCGTATTTGTGATTCTAAATAGTAGTGGGTTTCATATGTTTATGGAAGTGGAGATTTTAAAATTATGGTTCTTTTGTGATTGTCAAAATAAGACTTTTTTTCCTTGTCATATGAAAAAAAATCACTAATTTAAACTAATCAGTTTAATTAATAGTTCTGAACCACTATCTTCAAAGATAACTAAAGTTAACCTACCAAATTTACGTACTTCTTACTTCAATTACTAAAAGTATGATGTTACAAACTCACTGCCTTTCCCGTCTCTCTTCATTTTTTCCCATCACTTCTCAGCAATCATGAACTTGATTACCTACAGTTGAGCCACTTTTGCTTTTTTTCCTGTTTGTAGCTCTTTTTGGGAATAATAACAAGAGACCTTTCATAAAGTTGTAAGAGAGAGGCCATAAGACATCTTTTTTTAAATACTAATGGTAATACATGACCGTATTCATAGACCTAAGAAAATTGTTTAAAATTATATCATAACATTAATTCTTATAAAGCACAAATAACTAGTAATCACACCAGTAGCTGTTTATTGCTGCTTATTATTATAATCGTAATATAGCTCATTTTTTAACTGGTATATTTTTTCAGCAGAAGTATATTACAAGGCCAAGTCAATGCATCATATACTTCATTAAATAAAAGAAGTTGCAAAAAATCCATTTGTTATAGATTGGATTTGAACGCTTTAGATTCCAATGAATAACAAAATTTAGGGTATCTTCGTAAATAATCAAAATGACCAAACTCGTTTAATCTAAGTAGAGATCGTTATTGTCGATTAGATTGTTTTTGCATAAGGTATGCATATTGCTATTTGATAATCAAGGCATATTCTTTAGTATTTGAGTGCTGGCCTCTCCGAGTTGAGGATGGTAGACGACTCTCTGTGTTTGATCATCGCTGTCTCCGAAGGATTGCTGACATTCAGTGGCAACACCATGTCAGTAATGCAGAGGTTCGGCATCGTGTGTTCGGGCACAGAGATGATAATTCAATTGGTGTCACCATCTTGAAACACCGACTTCGGTGGCTTGGACATGTTCTACGAATGCCGTCCCAGAGAATTCCACGTCGTGCATTATTTGCCGACTCTGGGACTGGTTGGAAGAGGCGGAGAGGTGGTCAGTGCATGACATGGTGTCGTGGCATGAAAGAAAGCTGCAAAGGACTGGCTTGTGTTGGTCCTTCACGACTCCCTGGTTGGGGTCCGAGAGATGGTGCTACACAGTGGCTAGAGACGTTATCAGATATGGCTCAGAATAGAAGCCAGTGGCGATCCTGCTGTAACCTTCTTTTACTTTCTTTCTAAAAAGTGGTTGTGTCTCCTTTACCTGAAAGATTTCTTCTGATTGTACCTTTTCGTTCCGTCGTTACTACCACACTACCTTACTCCAATCTCTTCGTCATTGTTCTCTTTTTCTTTTGCGTTCCCTAGTTTTTTTTTTCTTTCTATTTCTCTTCGAATTTTCATTGTTTTGTGTGGCGCATATATATTGGCGCTCTCTTGTACCAATATTTATGTGTTCAAATAAATAAATAAATAAATAATAAATAATTTGAGTGCTATTTGCATGTAAGTACTGTTCAAAATGAGACAATGAACGTGTGTTTGTTTGCTGTTAATTACTATCAAAGACCATGCTACCTAACATATCTATTTTCAAAGAACAAATACCTTTATGATTCCCATCAGTAATCATTATTTTTTCCTATTACATAGAAAATATATAATCAACCCAAGAAACGTGAATTTCATCCTCAATTATTCAGTTTGGAGCATAACAAAAATAATATTTTAAAAGCTTATAATTTTATTAACAGTATTGAAAATTTATCAGAACTTTATTACTATTGGATGTTAACCGGTGGTAAAATTCATGCTACATTAAAAGATTCAAAAAGTATTATTGATAATTATCATCATAACAGTTTCAAGCAAGAATCAATAAAAGAAAAAGAAACATTAATTGGCGCGAATTCTCAATGTTTATTACCTCCAGTCTTGAGAATTCCACATTATCTTGCTTCAGTACAACCAAATGCTACACGTGCAATATCTTCAAAAGAACAATGGCCGCTAGGTGAAATTCCACAGCCACGTACGTAAGTGCCGTTCTCGTTTTTTTCACATAATTAATCTCACTCCATATATATATATATATATATATATATATATATATATATATATATATATATATATATATATATATATATCGCGATATAAAGCGATCATCTCGGTTATTAACAATCTTTTACATCAGACATAGTCTAACTTTACTGGTTACGGCTTCCTACTAAAACTCCGGGAATCACAACTATCCTATGCTTACTTTTCAGTAGTTGTATGACTAAGATTAGTCGTTGATACAAACTATAATATTCAAGAATCGTCACAAACCCTTCTTTACTGATAATTGTCAAATTATTTTGCTTTCTTTCATGTCTCTACGTTTTTAGATTTCAGTTCCAAATTACACCACTTTCCAATGAATGTTTTATTGAACGTATATCGCATACATCTCTTCATCATTTATATCCCCTATTTATTTATCAAGATTTAAAAATTAGTTCCACAGGAAATTCAAATGTTTATTCTGCCTTGTACTCAGTTAATAATAATAGTACTGATCATATTAATACTTCATCTAACAGTTTAATACCAAATGAACATACACGTATGATTCCTAATTCACCCTTGTTTGAAGTGACTGAGAAACTTTCAGATTTTTTAGATTCATTATGCAAAAATGATTTAACCTGTATTACCGGTGTTGATTGGAGTATGTCATTTACAAATAATCAGTATGAATCAATATCACAACAACCATTATCAATTAGAGAAACTGATGTAGATTATCAAATTTATCGCACACGTTTATTCACGCGAATAATCAATGGACTACCCGCAACTAAACAATATCTTCGTTTAGAAGCACGTAAAGATATACCACCATTTTTACGTTGGAAGGTAAGATTATATTAAAAGTGTGGTTTTTATTCGTACTATGGAAAACTCACCAGTTAGACTTGCGCAACAGAGAACCTAGGACATGTATGCATCAGTTAAAGTTTCCACACTGCTATGTTTGAAGCGATTACGAGTTCACCTAGTCTGCGAACGGAACAAAGACTGTGACCAAAGACCAATAAGCTAGCTATTCTGATGCGTCCCAGCTGCGCTAACTAGGGAGAGAAGTCCAAGTTCGAAACGGGGAAATATATTCCTCAAGCAGCCAAAAGCACAAGCAATGACGACAAGTCTAGTCAGAAATATACTCATTTATATATTGATTCATACACCCATTTTTGATTAATCAGAATAAATCACATATATGAAAAATACTTCATATAAGAATATCGTATGTTATGCAGAATAAAATGTCTTGGGAGAAAACGAAACATACTATACCGAGTGGTCATTAAATTGAATTAAACGGGATTAATGTTGAATAAAAATCATAATGAGTAAATCAATCTAATTTTGACCTATCATCCCGTCATACACCACATTAGCACAGCAATATGAAATTATCAGGACAAATGTTAAGGTAGTAAAAGTAGTAAGAGTGTAGTGAACAGGACACGGGTGGGGACAGTCGAATGTACGTGGCACAAAATTAAAGTTACTCGGTAAAATAGAAAAACCATATAGTAAAACGTTAATTTGCAAAATATTAATCCATCATGTCAAACCGGACTGTTCCTGTTGCAGTATAAAAAATTAAAAATAATATATTTGTAATATCCCAATGAGTAGAAAATTGGATTTTTCTGACGTTTCGTGGCTTAGTGTAAGTCACTTCTTCAGAGAATAAATAACCAAATTAAATTAATCCAAGTTTAAATAGTACAACGGAACAATGCAAGAATAATATTTGATCAATCAAAAACAGGTCTGAACAAGTTGATGTATGTCATTTCTGTCAAGGTGATTCATAAGTGATAAGTATGTAAATTTGTGTATGTATGTATGTGAGCATTGTTTAAGAATGAAAACTGTGTGACCTATATGGTAAGAAAGGATAGAGTTTAAATTTGTAATATGATAGTGTGAAATTGTAAATACGATCAGACTGAATGGTTAGGATAGATGGTCCAAGTAGGATGTATGGTAAGGCCTTCTTTTCTATTGAGAGAAGTAGGATTAAGCATTATATGGAACGCCTCAGCTACCCTCCTTTCTTTGTAGTTGGAAAAGCGATTTTAAAAATATCAAATATCAATATTGTTGCTACCTTGACGTGGTGGTCGGGCTTGCCTATCGTGATGAAGCAACCGAGCTATACTGGCTGGAACAACCGTTCCTCAAGGTCCTACCATGTCAGACAGGTCGGTTGAAGAGCGGTAAGACTAAAAGCAACAAACCCAAGGTCCGAAGGCGAAGTCGTACTGCTGACTGTACAGAGGTGTGACAGCAGTAAGGTGTTTCCTTCAGACAACCAGCATGACAGCGATGCTGCCTTCCCACAAGGAGGGGTGGGGTTAGAAAAGGTCGACCCTAAAAATGCACACCTCACCTTACCCACGGATTTCCGTCTCCGGCGGTAAGGCCCTTTGAAGAACGGAGCTAACACGTCAAAAACCTTCCACGAAAAGGCCGTGCGCGACCGGCCTCAAGCAGTTGTCCCTTGGGCACTGCGGTCACGCTCTCAGGTCACTGAGACCACCTCTAATCCAATTTCCTTTTCAGGTACCTCCAGAAGAACCCTTCCACGGTGTGGGCAACCGGGAAGTGATAACCGCCCTCATACCTCTAACAGCACCCAAGACCACTGTATTCATAATCAACCTTCCTCTTCAATTCCTATTATTCCTCCTACATCGACTTTCAACCCTAAACTTCCTCCTTTGGCTTCCTCCTCAAGTGTCACCATAGCCAACGATTCTAGTGCTCAAAACACTGTCCCAGGTCTACTGAAACCTCGCTCCAAACTACACATTGGAGCCTTCAACGTACGCACCCTATGTCAAATCGGTCAGCAGGCTTCCTTGGCTAAAACCCTAGAGTCTCTTTCCATTGATGTATGCTGTGTCTCCGAAACACGCATACAGGATCCCAGTGTGGTCATTCACTTGACCTCACCTCGGCAGAACGGAGAGCCAACGAGATACACCCTTCGTGTATCTGGTGACCCGATGGCCAGTTCTCGTGGACTGGCAGGTGTAGGCATAGCACTAAGCATGAGGGCCGAACAAGCACTGCTAGAGTGGATCCCCGTCAACAGTCGTCTATGTGCTGTTCGGCTGAACGGCTGCGTAAGAACTCGGAAGGATAGGGACACACGTCGTTGCCTTTTTGTCGTTTCTGCCTACGCTCCCACTGACTGCAGCTCAGATGAAGTGAAAGATGAATTTTACAGAAAGCTTCCTGAACTTCTTCAGAAAGCTAAACGCTCAGACATAGTACTCGTAGCAGGTGATTTTAATGCTCAGATAGGTAGCTTAAACCAAACAGAAAGGCATTTAGGTGGATATTTTAGTATTCCGACACAGCGAACAGATAATGGTGATCGTCTGCTGCAGCTATGCTCAGACAATCGTTTATTTTTAGCAAACACAAATTTTAAGCATAAGGAGAGACATCGTCTAACATGGCGACCCCCTACACCAAACCAACGATGGACTCAAATAGACCATATTGCCATCAGTCATCGTTGGAGAGGGTCGGTAGAAGATTGTCGCTCATTCTGGAGTACCTGCTTGGACTCCGACCATGCCCTAATACGGGCACGCATCTGCTTGCGCCTCACTGGACGCAAAAAAGCCACATTAAAAAGACCCGTTAGAACTGAGTTGAGTAACGAGAAAACCAAAAGTAGGTTCCAGGAACAACTGAGGTCACACTTAGGTAGTTGTGAAGACGAGGCTGACCCAGATGTTGCTTGGAAGGGCATACAATCAGCTGTGGAAACAGCAGTGACATCTATTAGTGACTTAAACCACAGAGTTACAAGGAACCAGTGGATTTCTTCAAGGTCTGTCACACTGATGGATTCTCGCAAACTCGTCCCATCAGGTTCTGAACATGATGAAGAGCGACAACAAATCAGATCTAGGTTAAGAAAAAGTCTAAGGAACGACCGTGAGCAGTGGTGGGTAACGAAAGCAAAAGAGATGGAAAAGGCGGCGACTATAGGGAACACAAGACAGCTTTACAGACTAATAAAAGAAACTGGAATTAATAAGTCAAGTGTAAGTGAGATTATTTCGGAAAAAGATAATACTCTCATCTGCTCCCAGTCCAGACGTTTAGAACGATGGGCGGAACATTTTAGAGAACAGTTCAGCTGGCCTTCAGCTACTCTACAACTACCCTCCATTCCCAGACAATGTGAATGGAACATTGAAGTAGGTCCCCCAACTCTTGCTGAAGTTCAAAAGGCTATAGTTAATCTGAAACGAGGAAGGGCAGCTGGTCCAGATGGATTGGCTCCAGAGGTCTTTAAGGATGGTGGTCCAATTTTAGCGATTAGGTTGACTAATATTTTAGCTAAGATCTGGGAATTAGACGTTATCCCATCTGACTGGTCGCAATCACTTATCGTCCCAATATATAAGAAAGGGTCAAAATCATCCTGTGACAACCACAGAGGGATTAGTTTAACAAACATAGTATCTAAAATACTGGCCTCGATAATTATCAGACGCCTAACTAAGACTCGTGAACTACAAACACGAGAGAACCAAGCTGGCTTTAGACCTGGTCGTGGCTGCATCGACCACATATTCACCATTCGTCAGGTTCTAGAACACAGGCATACCTATCGGCGTCCGACGATGGTGGTCTTTCTTGACTTAAAAGCAGCATTTGACTCTGTAGACCGCGAGACTCTGTGGCAGTGTCTGTCATTGAAAGGCGTACCTCAGAAGTACATAAACCTTGTGAAGGCTCTTTACTCGAACACTACTAGTCGAGTCAGGGCTTATGGCGAACTGTCATCTACTTTTGCAACCTCAAGTGGTGTCCGTCAAGGCTGCCCACTTTCTCCATTTTTGTTTAACTTCATCATAGACCTATTGATGGAAATAACACTCTCGTCGACTGAATTCTCGGGTATTGATCTCCTTCCAGGAGGTCCACTTATCGACTTAGAATACGCAGATGACATAGTCCTGTTTGGTGAAGACGCTGACAAAATGCAGAGTCTTCTGGTAGCACTAAGCAACAATGCCAGAATGTTTGGGATGCGCTTCTCTCCCTCTAAATGCAAGTTGTTGCTTCAGGACTGGTCTGCGTCAACACCTGAACTAAGGATAGGGAGTGAAGTAGTCGAACGCGTTGACAACTTCACTTATCTTGGAAGTCTGATCAGCCCTAATGGGTTGGTGTCTGACGAAATCTCAGCACGGATTCGAAAAGCTCGTTTGGCTTTTGCCAACTTACGTCACCTTTGGCGGAGGCGAGATATCCGTCTATCAATAAAAGGACGAGTATACTGCGCGGCAGTCCGTTCTGTCTTAATTTACGGCAGCGAAACATGGCCTTTAAGAGTAGAAGACACCCGTAAGCTACTAGTATTTGACCACAGATGCCTTAGAAATATTGCTGGCATCTGCTGGGATCACCGGGTAAGTAATAGTGAGGTTAGACGCAGGGTATTAGGGAATGATGGTAAATCAGTTGATGAGGTTATGAATCTTCATCGACTGAGATGGTTGGGCCACGTATTACGTATGCCTGAACACCGATTACCACGACGTGCAATGCTAACCGGTGTAGGGGATGGTTGGAAAAAAGTTAGGGGCGGCCAAACCAAAACGTGGCATCAGTGCTTGAAGTCACTAACTTCTAGTCTGAGCCATGTTGGTAGATGCAGACTACTTGGTTGGGGTCCGCGTGACTTTCGTAACCAATGGTTGGAGACTCTTGGTGACATGGCCCAGAATCGATCACAATGGCGTCGGTGTATACACTCCCTGTCTTCCCTTAAACTAAGAGATTAAAATCACTTCATACCTTTCTTTCTACGAACTAATTCTTCCTTCCTATACTATATCCTTATTGCAACCTTTGACCTAACCACTCCTATGAATCCGGTGTTCATCTTGTTGTGCTAATGAGGTATGGCAACCTGGACCGATGCACATATGTGCCTGGTCCTACGTTGTAGCTGACTGACTGACCTTTCTTACCATATAGGTCACACAGTTTTCATTCTTAAACAATGCTCACATACATACATACACAAATTTACATACTTATCACTTATGAATCACCTTGACAGAAATGACATACATCAACTTGTTCAGACCTGTTTTTGATTGATCAAATATTATTCTTGCATTGTTCCGTTGTACTATTTAAACTTGGATTAATTTAATTTGGTTATTTATTCTCTGAAGAAGTGACTTACACTAAGCCACGAAACGTCAGAAAAATCCAATTTTCTACTCATTGGGATATTACAAATATATTATTTTTATTTATAACAATCAACCCAATGCTCAATTTATTCGAAATTATCAAATCAAACCTTGGTAATGACACCTACAAAAAATTAAAAGATAATTTCAAATCTCAAGATCTAACGGACTGCAAAGAATGTAACATTAAACAGTTCCCGTATAGTATACTATAATATCGGTTTTCCTCATAATTAATGATTATTTAAATAGGAGTTGAATGTTGGTTGACACTTTAACATTGTTACTCATCGTTCGTTCAACGTTCCCCTCTATGTAGTTGCTAGACATTAACAACCATCCCAAAAGTCTCGTTGTTTGATCACTGAGCAGCAACCAATGTCAGTCTTTAGTGTTGATCAAACTCTATCGACCATGTTGTAATGTAACCACTAGTCCAATTAACTCAACGTTGGGTGCTCTATATTTTTATATAAGTTGCTGGTTGGAAACAGTCAGCAAGATAACTTGGACCTAGTTCTCCTGCTAGTTAGCACTCGTAAACAAGGCAGATCTGGAATCTTAAGGGAACTGATGCTTCTTGTTGAACTAGTACTTGTGTTAATCGTTGACACAACTTAAGGTTTTGTAATGAGTCTTCCTGTTGATTGATTCCAATCACTGATATGATGGTGAAGATCTTAATTAATTGGAGAGTAAACGACCACCTACAACATTGATTTGCTTTAGTTATATTTTTTGTCACTATTTTGTATATAAACATGTTATTTTTTTTTACAAAAAAACCCTTCTCTGCCTTGGTGGTCTTGCCGTTGATCTCAAATCATACGGGAACCTACATTAATAATTTGTTCTCGCAAGGAGCCATCACTCAGTCACATCATTTCATGTCGTTTGCTTATCGCTATTCTTTCCCATTTGAACAAAAAAATTCGTTCATAAAAATTTACTTCAGAACAGTCTCAAACTTACGTCAATGCTGAAAGCATTTGATTCGTTACCTTGTGTCTACTAACTAGAACTCTCATGAGAAATTAAAATAGTTGTACTATATAGCTCCAGTTTCTGTATTCTGAAAAGTATATCGAATTTGTGATGCTGTCGTTAGTTCAGATAATTCTTTAGATTCTAGTGCGTTATAAGAATGACCTTAACATAATTTAAAATCATCCTCTTATTTCGAGAGTTGAGATTTTTATTTATCGATTGTTCAAGGTCTATGAAGTTCCCGATTCGTTCATTTATATACAATGTGTTTAAATACAGTAATATATCAGTGACTTTGTCATTAAATCTTTTTTTCAAATTACCAGACTGAAACATTCAATTGTATATTTGTAGTTTTTACGTTCAAAACTTAAATAGCTTGTCAGTGTCAGGAGAGTCGGAACAACAAGAAATACTTTGGGAAATTTTGTTGTAACCTATCAATTCTGAGTTGTCACAATTCGTAATTATGTCATACAAATATTTAAATGAAATTAAAAACGATAACGTTATTATGATTGACTTGGTGCTGAGAACTTACTGTAACAAAATTTACAGTATTTAGTAAAGCAGTAATTATTATTAAACTAGTATGACAACTAAACATTGGCAGCTGCACCGTCTATATGGTCCAGTGCATCATCGAAATGAGTTGATATCATAAATTCTACCATTCAAATCATAGTGGTATAAATACTTGGCAGACATTGAACGTGTTATTGACTCACCTCATATTTGAACGAGACCAGTTTATTCGTGATGGATCAACGATATCGTAAGCTGATTTATTCCCTCAAATATAATTTATGTATTTCACGTTCTTAGTCTACTCATTTTACCTGGTCTAAACGTTTGGCTTCATTGTTCACACTCTGTATTTTACGTTATTTACACATCTTATGCCTATCAGTAGTTATTATTTATCACTTGATGTTTGTCGAATTCCTACCTTGTTCAGTTTATCTTACTGAATTGTTCCTGAAGTTCGCTTATTTGTCGAACTAGTCACTGGATTTTCTCTAACAACTAAAACCAAGGTTTTCTCTGTACCAACTTCATATTGCATTTCCTAGGTTTGGGCTGCTTTACTCGACGTTTATCCCAATCGGGATTTCGAATCAGCTTACCTGAAGGCATTGCATAGAATCAACAAGTTTGGCTTGGACGTAACACCTATAAATGAATTAAATAATAATAATAACCTTAGTTGTGATCTCTTAGATGAAAAAGTCATTAATCAAATATCAGTTGATTTACCACGTTGTCATGCTTATGATCCATTGTTGGCATCATCTATTGGGCAATCTGTACTTCGTCGTGTTCTACTAGCGACTTTATTAATGAAACCTGGTGCATTGGATTATACTCAGGTAAATGAAATTCTTAATAGTATGACATTTTAAATGTATATGTGTGGTGATTTTGTTTTATCATTTCAGATATTCAGTTTACACTTCAATTTGTTGGCTCATTTTTCTAAAAAGGTGCATTGAAAATGTTAATTAAAAACTTTCATTTTTAAACCGTTGATTATGTTAATATTACATGAATATTTGAATTTAAGATAGCAGGAGAATAAGGATATAGTACAAGACAACTATATCTATATAACGTACTCTGAAAATAATTCGTCAGTTTCCTACTGTATTGTTGATTACCTCTAGTTCTTAATTCTTTTTTTACTTAAATGATGAACCATCTCTCTTACATTGATAGGTTTATTTTTCTGGTTCAATATGACCGAGTAACTATTTAATAAGGCGTAAATTTTTGCTTCATGGTTAAGGTATTCGACTTTCAACAACTCAGTCATGTCCAAATCACACCACTTACTTTTTTCCCTTCATTTTTTGCATACATCGTTCTTTCACATGGTATTTTCAACGTTAGGTCTAATCCAACTATACCGTCATAACATATTTAATTGGTCAATTGTTTGTTACTTTTTAATAGTTGAGATCATGAGTCAATTGAAGCTGAACGACCATGGAAAACCTGGAAACACTGGACGGCCGTTTCGTCCTATTTTGGGACTCCCCAGCAGTGCTCATCCACAATCCCGCCTCGTGAGACCCGAACCCAGGACCCACCGATCTCGCGAGGCGGGACCGTAGATGCGCACTGCTGGGGAGTCCCAAAATAGGACGAAACGGCCGTCCAGTGTTTTCAGGTTTTCCATGGTCGTCCAGCTTCAATTGATTCATGATCTTAACTATTATAAAGTACTATAATATTCACAAAATACCCTTCTGAAATTGTTTATTAGTTACATTCATCCCTAAGCGATCATTTAAAAGATTAAAACTTGATAAGCTGATCAATCTTGTGTATTCATATACGTTATTGGGCTACAGTTGTACAAGTTAATTTTTACTTATTAGTATAAACATTATACGTATTCACAGTGAATCTAAAATACTATTAGTGTCAGCCAAAAACCATTTAACGAAATTACAAAAATAATGACAAAACAGCAGACAGAAGTAGTGCAATAAACTAGACAAAGTGTACGAGTAAGCTTAATGTATATATATTCAAATTTTGAATGAACAAGAGAAGTGGATATTTCATTGTGATTTTAACTGGTTCATTTTGCAACATGCTATATAGTAGTCTTGGAAAGTTCATTTATTAATTCTTGGGAAGTTGTGTCAGGAACCGCATAGTCTCGGATGTCTGGAAACAGGAGTTGTTAGCATAATAAACTGGGACATTTCGGTAGTCTGATTTTGTTTCCATCTCAATTCAGTAATAGAGATGGCAATTGAATTTGTGTGATCTCCGTTTTTCAAGCCTCTAGATGATTTAGTTAGTTAAGTGAATAAACGTGAAGTCGTATATGATAGGTGGCCGGTGGGGCGAATATTTCTGAAGATTGCTATGGAAAGTTGGTGTTGAAAACTTATCTAACCTAGTTCAAGCGATAATCCGATAGGAATACTCATACATTAACGTTATGATTTGGTAGGACTATCGAACAAGATCGATTAGGTGTGCAACTATTACGTATAAGTATACCGACAGTGTTCTTGGAAATAAGGTGATAAAAAGCTTACTAGTACAATACCAAGCTAATGAGAAAGAGCATTTTTAACAACGGTGGAAATGAAAGGGCTCGCAGGGTTCGAACCTGCGACTTAGTAGCTGAAAGTCAGACGTCGTAAGCACTTTGCCACTGCTCCACACGTTCCGTAATTTATCATTCAATCTGATTACATTTTTTAAAACAGTTTTGAACACTGTTCATTCATACTGTTTATTATATCTCGTGTCTATTCACGGCTCTCGGTAATTTCTAGGGTATGGATTCTGTAGCTGCTGTATTTGTGCGTATATGTTATCCAGATGAAGCATTGGCTGCTGCTTGTTTAAATGCTTTTTGTCAACAAAGCTACCGGGATTTTTCTCTTCTGGTGGTCTTACTGTTGGTTTAAAATCGTATTTCAATACACTTCTACGGTTGTTAGCATTTCATGTACCTCGACTAGCTATTCGATTGGTTGATATTAATGTGCCTTTGATTGGATTGACTACCGGTTGGATTTATACGTTATTTGCTCATGCTATGCCATTGGATCGTATAGAATTACTATGGGATACAATAATTCCTGGTCCAGCTTCATTGTCAATGTTTTTCTACATTGCATTTTTTATTCAGTTAGACAGACAAATCAATCTTGAGGTAATTTTTTTATTAATCAGGTTAATCAGTTGTATAACAGTTAACTTTGAATAAGATTTGATTTTCACGTTTGTTTTTTGTTGATCAACTATCGAAATCCTAAATCAGCTTTCAGCTAAAGAGATTTTGTGGAGATTGGTACAATTTTTTGTGTTGTACTCGTCACAAATTGATCTCAGTCGAGGTACCATTTGAAATCAGAGAGTAACAAACAGCTATTTTTTCCTAGCATATGACTCTACCATACACACATGACTTATGCTCATCCTGAGGTTGAGTTTTTAGAACTATTCACTATCGGGTTAATTGAAAGTATTTAATTCAATTTATGTGCAGTTAATTGATGCAAGATTTATTTCTTTATCACATGCAATCTTGGAGGAATCAAATTTATAAATTGCGCAGACAACTTGTTTGATAGCATAATATTTTTAAAAATGTGATTTGTTTATTGCTACAAAATACTTCACTTGCCTGATGAAATAATCAAAAGTAAAGTTTGGAAACAAATCAGGTTTTATTGACATGACTAGAGACTAGGACAGAAGACTATAACAATCATGTGATGGACCATTTGTGTGTACTTCCTCAATATTTCTGTTCATCAAATAGTTTGTTCAAGGTCAGTAGTAGGATGACAAAAATGTGGTAAAACAAAATTAGCCTACTGAGCATCAAATTCAGTCATTCAGTTAAGTTATAATGCAAGATCTAAGCACATAAGTGCATCAGCCCAAGATCCCATTCCACGTCAGAATGATAATATGAAATTTACAGGGATTGGAGTAACAGTAGGATTAGTGATAGATTTATAAAAATTAAACATGAAGAATATTGTTCGAAAGGAAGTAATAAGAAGGTGTGTAAGGAAGGATGTTGGAACTCAAGATTTAGTAGAAAATAAAGTGCAAATGCATCTGTACTACTGCAATTAATCCTTGGTTTAAGATTAGCAACACTGGTGTTTTGTCACAGTCCATGTACATGTTTAATCTCATTTTATCCCATGCATAGCAACGAATGCAGTTGACGATAGTCGATATAGCAGTAGGCCTCAACATTCACAAAGGAAAAAGCAAGATCCTCAAATACAACAGAGCGAATACGAACCCAATCACACTTGATGGATGGAGAAGCTCTGGAAGGGGTGGAAACTTTTACTTTCCGGGACAGCATCACTGATAAACAAGGGGATCTGATGCCGATGTGAAGAAATAGATTTACAAAGCAAGGGAAGCATTTCTACAGTCGGTGAACATATGAAATTCAAAACAACTGTCAGTCAAAATCAAAATCTCCAATACGAGTGTCAAGACAGTTCTGTTGTATGGAACTGAAACTTCGAGAACTGCCACAACCATCATCAAAAAAGTACAGGTATTTATAAACAATTGTCTATGCAAAGTACTCAGTGTCCATCGGTTAGATATCATCAGCAACAGCCTACTGTTAGAAAGAAAAATCTAGCTTCCATCTGAAGAGGAAATTAGTAAAAGATGCTGGATTTTAATAGGACACATTGTGGAAATCAAACTGCATTGAGAGGTAAGCCCTAACTTTGGATCCTAAAGGCAAGGTGAAAAGAGGCAAACCAAAGAACACATGGCACCAGGAATCGGTGGCGAACATAAAAAAATGAATAGTACTTGGCAACGAATGGAAAGGAGAGGCCAGGACATGATTAGAGAATGTTGGTCGGCGGCAGATGCTTCACGAATTGTAATTGTTAATTAGTATATCTGAAATTAGTTATATTTGAGTAGTTCTACATGAGTATTGTGCTCTTATTTGGTTGATTTATTTTAGTTGTTAGGACTAGAAAAGATTTGTACAATTTTGTCGAATTTTCCCGATATTAATTTGGATAAATGTAGAACAGATGCTTTAAAATTGGCATTGGCTACACCTCGAAGTTTAACAGCTTGGTCGATTCCCAATAGACAGTATTTAAATAAAAAATTTATGGAAAATGAAGAATTAAAAGTTGAAAACCTGGATTCCGAAGGAAACGAATCGTCAACTTCTGATTTCTATGAAGTAAGTTTAATTGCATTTTCGGGCATTCAAAAGATTATCCAACTATATTTCTTCTAGAAGTGACTTAATATTAGATTGTGAAGTTGAACAATTAAACTATTCGTTTAGTAATTATTCTAGTGAAAAGTTCATTTTTCGCGATTTATACTTTTTGGACTGAACTTGTAGTTAAACGTCGTCAGATATTCGATCTTTTACTCATGAGGATATTACAAATATATTAGTATTTTATTTTCAGAATCTGTCTTAGTTATGTCGCATTTTTTGACAATATTTGATTTCTGGTTCTTACGATTTTATTATGTATGGCTTTTAATTTTTCGTCATGTTTTTACCTTGTTATTCGTAGTAATACTTTTGTCTCTAAAACAATATATTCTTCCTCTTTAATGAATAAATTTGTTAATTAAATCCTGTTGATTTACAGTCATGTCCCTATTTTTTTGAATTAGCGTTTAAAATCACAGAATGCATGGCCAGATCATTTAGAATATGATTTTACAGAATCATTAGAATATTCTAATATCGATGTTGCATCAAATGTTTGTGAAAAACTAAATATATCGTCAAATGCTTTTAAATTAGTCCCATTACTCAGTTTTAAAGATGCTGTGGTGCATGTGAAACGTCCAGATTGTCTAGTTTTAGATGTACGTAATATCAAAGAATATAATAGGTAAGCATTCTATTTCTATAATATATTCCTATTAATTGTTTTCATAAGTAATATATTCATGTATTCTGTTTGATATTGATCATAAATTCTTATTTATTTCTCCAAAATTTTAAAAATTGATTTAGATGAATTCACTTGGTATTGTTTACTTGAATCTTCCCATTGATGTTTAGGACTGTGAACGGTACTGGGTTCGAGTCCCGGAGTGGACATCAACTCTGAGATGCAGAGTCCCAAATAGGACGAAACGCGCGTCCTGGATTCCAGTGCTAATCACTATCCATCTTTGTTTATAATTGATTTAGATGGTTATAACATTTAATTTTCGTCCATAACATTCTATGGGTACCATGAAACTAAGCAGTGATTCAATAATCGTTATAAGCAAGCAGGCAGGTCTGTCATCTCACATTATCTATATTATAGTTTATAGAGGTGAGCCAAAAAAACTGCGATGAATTTTCAACCAGTTCTTAGTCGATCAGAAAACAGCTCTTAGGAAATGGCTATTTTTTGGAAAACAAAGCAATAATGTCATAAGTGTTAAACGGATTTCGCATAATTAATTAGTCTGTTAAAATCTTTTCAACGTTTTTCTTTTTACAAATTGAAAAAAAATGTTGTATGACTTTATCCATATAGATGTACAACATTTGTCTTTTCGAACCCTTTTAAAGACCTAAAATGATTTATAGTTCCCAGATTGTTCTGGAATCATGAATTAATGTTGAGATTTAGGATTAAAAGTTATGTTTGGAGTTTTTGTCACAAACTGACATAATGTAGTTTTACTTTATAACTACATAGATTGAAGGTTTAGTTGTAGCACTATGCGTTCAGTGTTATGGATTTTAGATTAAAGATTCAAGGTTTAAGTCATAGTTACGCGTTTACGGTTAAGATTAAGGCATAGAGTTCATTTGAGAGTTTCATACATGTCACATAGCAAGAATTGTTCACTTGATTCGTTTAACACTATTTTTTTCACTTTATAGCAAAAAAGCTAATTTTCGTTTTCATTTTTAACGTTTAGAGGACTATACAGAGGTACTTGTACCGCAAAATACCTAACAGCCATTTTCTCAACTTTGATTGCCTCATCTCTATAATATATTTTCACTTATATCATTTTCGCACTTTTTCTGGAAATACTTTTGTTTTGACCGGATGAATAAATAGGAGAGTATCACGTGATCAAGGAACACTAACATAATAACAGTATTAAAGATTGGAATGATTTTGGCACTCATACCTACATGGAAAGTAGTATGGTTAAAGCCAAGTAATCAGAATTAATTCTGTAGTTAGTCACTGTATTAAAATAAACTCTTATTTTTTTATCTTGATGAATGATGAGCTATGATATTTCCATAAAATCTTTGGGTTATAGACAAATTTATCACAGAAAAGTTATTGAAAGATTGATTTTTAAGATCAACTTTCTCTTCACTCAGTTATATGTGTAATATACATATGCATCTCTCAAATTTTTTTGATTATGACAATATGATTCATGTTTATTTATCAAGAATGTAGTTAGATAATAATGTTTAAAGTAAAGAGACTTCAGAATTTTCCTTTTTTCTAATCAGATTTTCCGTTGTTTAGTCATTCCCCCAATTTTGTATTGCCATATATTCCCATTCATTATAAGAGTATGATAATTTATCAGTGTTATGTGTTTGTAGATACTACTAGATTTTGTAGTTTATATCACAGACTGATGTTATTTAGATAACCACTGAAAACCACGAGGCAGCAAACACATGTTCTGTCCTGGTACCGGAATCCTTGTCGGTACACATCCACGATCCCACCTAGATCCACTCCAGGACCTTTTGATCTTGTGGCGAACACTTAAAGTGTGGAACACTGAGCTAGAATACATTCGTTCACATCGTATAGCCTCCATCGATTCACGGTATTGTGCAATCATCTCTCGATTTTATTGCTACTGTTTCAAACTCGACCTTTACATCAATTCAATCATATATGAAATAACGAGGTCAACGTTATTTTTCATGGAATTAACTGATTTAAGTCAATAGGAATGAAATTCAAAACATTTAAAATAGTTAAGAAGTAATTTACTCTGTAATTCGCTTGATCAAATAAAACTGGAGTTATCTGCAACATCTTTAATGTACAATGTGTTTGTTGTTTCAAGTATTTTCATTCACGGGGGTGATTGTTGCATATTATAATGTAGCTTTCATTAGTAGTTTTTGGTTTTCATCCTGCACGTTGGACTGTACCACATTGACTTCTTCATATCAAACAGTTATAGAAATCTCCACAGGTGATCAGAAATCTTTAGTGAAAATAAAACTCCAATTTGGAACACTCACTCACTAAATGAACATAAAGATAGTCGACAAACAGCTAGATACAACAAACTTGTTGAACAAATAATACTTAAAATGTATCGAGATCATGAACCGATTGATGTTAGACCGCCATTGAAAACCTGGATGCACTGGACGGCCGTTTCGTCTTATTGTGGGACTCCTCAACAGTGCGCGTCCACGATCCCGCTCGCGGGAAAGTAAAATTAAATAGAGCAATAGATAAACTGTAAATATGAAACGCAAAATAAAAAATGTTAGACATTCTAAGGTCAATCAAAAGATCAAGATCAAATGTTCATGATCCACTGTAGTTTTATTAATCGCTTTAATATGATTTACTTTGTATTCTAGGTTTTTGTGCCATTGTTCATTCAATAGTTCATCCATACACAAGAAATACTTTAGATGCAATCAATTCGACATAAGAACCTTTCCATGCATCAGTTTAAAAAATTCATCCATTAATTTTCTATATTCGGGTTAAATTACAAGTTCCAACCCTGTTGCTTCACTGACTTAACTTTCATCTGGCTGGTAGTATCAGTAGTCTTCACAAACACACACATTATATATATAAACCCTGCTTCGCTTTGGGCACCCGGGCAGTATCACAGCCCTCACACATATCGAATGGGATTTTTGTGGCGCATATGTATTTTTCGCCTCCTTGTACCAATATCTATGTGTTAAAATAATAATAATAATAATAATAATTATATATATATATATATATATATATATATATATATATATATATATATATATATATATATATATATATATATATATAAACACTTACATGTCGATGTACAGGTTAAAAAGGGGTGCTACACAAATTTCTTCTGTGCGCAACGGTTGGGCCATTTAATAAACATTCCAATAGTTTCAGCAGTTTCCAAAAGACAAGTCCGTATATTACAGGGTAAATTTGACGGAATAAGGTGTATAACTATAAAAGTCTTACTCAATTCAACTTTATTTCTTGTATGTTTTGGGATCTTCTGGATCATAAAGTCTCGTAGTAATTTCTGGTCGTTCGTTCAACTTGTGATATCAGTTTGTCCATAGAAGTATGAAAGAAAGTGTGTAAAATTTACTCTTTGAATTTAATTATAGGCATAAAAATCGGAGTATTAACGAATATGAATAAAAGAAGTCTGTTAGCCACTTTATAATTAGCAAATCGATTCACGTGCTAATAAAATTCCTTGTTAACTGCTAAAAATACACTGAATGTAAAGATGAGTATTACAAAAATCATAAACCAAGTCTGTTAATAAAATTAGACAGGCTTACTTTACGTATCCGATATTCTGTTTCCTAACTTTATAAATTCCAAATTTACATGCTAAGACACATTATTGAATGCTCTGTAAACACTTGACATTGTAACTGTGATATTTTTCCAAAACAATCGCTTTTTTCAGATTTCATTTGCCTAACAGTATTCATTGTGGGATTTCCAGATCTGTAATGCGAGATTCTTCATCAATAGGAATTGAAGAAAGCAGCGATATATCTTCAACTACCACTAGCTCTTACAATACTTCCTCTCCAGAAAACTGGGAGGTGATTGACTATCCAAGTGGTAATCGTAATCGACCGCAAATCATACCAGAGTTTTTAGCCTTTCTTATAAACCAAAAACTATGGCATCAAGCAACACAAGCTAGACAGTTATTAAATATTAAATCAAGTCATGGAGTCACTAAGGAATCGGTCAACACAGTAACACCCTGTTCACCTGGGCTCTTAATTGTATGTGGCAACGACGAGCGTCTTTGTTGGGATCTAGCGTTTTGGCTCATAAAATGTGATATTGATCGTGTTTGCATACTTTTTAGTAGTAACGACAGTATATCAGACTTCATAAACTTATGTTCTCAATAGTTTGTTGTTCTGTCATCTCATTATTGTGATTTGTATACCTCTTCATCCCTTGGTTTCTGTTCAGTATCAGACTACAGTTTTAAGTTCTTTCCGCTAAATGACATCAGTATTTTTTCTTGCTGAACGCATCAATATATTCTTGATTTTATGATAAGTGATTGAACTACTGTTGCTAATAATCAGTCGTTTGTGATTTATTAATTTCCTTCGTATCTTAACCGTATTTTGTATGTATTTAATACTTTTCAGCATCACTAATTCGTTGTATTTTTATTGTTTTGTTAATTCTAATCAGAATTGACTGGGTTGTCTAGTGGAAAATCAATAGAGATGTTTATAGCACTTTATTTATGGAAAAGCTCCAAGCAATTTCCGGAAACGTCATAGTCTCGCTAAGAATAATGCTAAATCACGTGGTTACCACTCCGGTGAAACGCATTGGGGTCAGTTGTAGCTATTCAAAGCAGTAAACTATGTATTTAATAGATAGAATGTCACAGATTTTTTTTGTCAGATTGACACTGGGACATGATCGGTTCCCAGAACCAGTAAGCAGGAACTGGGTAAAATTCTCAAATTTCTTATGGTAAGACTATTTTTGCTTTCAGTAAAAATTAATTCCTTTGAATAGGCGCAAAACGTTTAGAGTTCCAAGAGTTCATAAAATCCAAGATTTGGACAGTGGCGCACACCAATCGAGATTTCTAAAATAACGTAATTCGGTGGGAATGGTGGTATTGATTTAATGCAAAGGTAGGTGTTAAACATACGCTGTCAGGTGCTTTGGAGGTTTATATGAATGTATGAAAATCCCTTCTAATGTGACGTGTTGCCTTTCGAATTATTTTCCTCTGTCCCTTCAGCTGCATACTTCCCTGATCTTTTAGTCCTAGATGAGACAGCTACTATTTTTCCATCGTAACATTTACTTTTCCTTCGTCTAGCGAATTCCTATGGTTCTCACGAACTATATCAACATTGTTTTACGTGGCTCTGATGGCTGCCATGTTGACTCATTTCCCTTGCATTTTTATCTTAAATTAAAGCACATTTTCGTAAGCGCTCATTGTCGTAAAAATCTTAAATATTACCTTTTGAATTAGGTCCACTTGATCTATCCAGAAGGGATAATTTTATATTATTAAGAACATTTGCTTTTTCGAACTGACTTGATTGAATTTGTTGAATAACTGTGGTAATTTCTCTAGAACCGTTCCTTACTGTTGGCACAGCTCTCAGAAGCTGCAACTAAGCCCGATACAATTCTCTAGAACATCGACATGGCATGTGTGGTAAAATAGTTATGTAAACTTCCTGTTTTTGTATTGTCTGGGTTATAACGATGTTACTGCACATAACAGAAGCTTTAAAGACAGATGTTGTTCTGTACATTTCGACACTTCAGTAAACGCTTTTTTGGGACTCAGGGGTACTAGACGCTCCATTGTCATGGTCATATCCGAATCAACCATAATCAAGTTACAGAATAAACACTTGCATGTCTACTTTGTTTGACTTTTAACTGGTAACCGCACGAGTATCCGACCGAAATTTCATATTTACTACAAAGTTCAATCCGATTCGTTTTAAAATTTATTTGCATGATCCATAGCTGTTATCGTATGGTCGATTTGTATTCACGAAGCCGCATACAGTCGAATTACAAGTTATCTATCTCATAATATGTCAGGTGTCGGAGAGTGAATGACATGTTGAAGTGATTGCCTCTTTGATCCCCTTCCAGTTGCTCTCCACAGTAGTTCCTTCTCCATTGAGTAGATCATGAAAGGCCTGGAACTTGTTGCTGAGGCCTACCTTGAATTTGTTGAGTTTGTTAGTATCCTGGAGAAAGGCCGTATTGAACTTTTGTGATACTGTCCGCCTCGTTGTCCAGTGTTTCTTGAGTTTCAATTTCATCTTGGCGACCAGTAAGTGATGATCTGATGCTATATCAGCTCCTCTCTTGGTTCTTACGTCCTCTATAGTCCTTCTGAACGTTTTGTTGATGCAAATATGGTCGATTTGGTTTTGTGTATAGTGATCCGGTGAAGTCCATGTGGTTTTGTGTATGCGTTTATGTGGGAATATGGTGCCGCCAATGACCAGCTTATTGAAGACACATAGATTTGCAAATCTCTGACCATTTTCGTTTCTTTCTCCCAATCCGTGTCGTCCCATGATGTCTTCATATCCAGTGTTGTCCGTTCCAACCTTGGCGTCGAAATCTCCCATCCTATAAGTGCGTTTTGTGCTTGTTTGGACAGCATCAATGCAACTCCTTGTGTATGTGGTGCATTTTCTTCTTCATGGCCGGAGTATAACAGGAGCTCTCCTGTAGTTAGTTGTTGTTGTCCAACTTGTGTCCAATGTGTTTCACTGATCCCAAGTACCTCTAGGTTGTACCTTCCCATTTCTGCAGCAATTTGGAAGGCTCTTCCGGTGTCTCACATTGTACGAACATTCCATGTACCTAAGATAAATGTGCATATCTAGATCAATTGAAGCACCGGTAACTGCAGCGGATGTTCTACAAGTTAGACCAGACTTTTTCGTTAAAGATTCTTAAGAAGTAAACAATCATAACCTCCAAGCTACGGCATGTCCTCGTGGACAGTGGTGTGACTTCGACGCAAGATCTTGTTAGTTATATATGTCAAAAAAATTAGCACCATCAATTCATCGGCGTAGATATTTCCATTCATATTGACCAGGATCCTCAAATCTCACATTAATGCTACGACACGCGGAGTTTGATCATGCACTCCTACCATTAGACCTCAACACAACGTCTGTGAATTTCAGAAAATAATTTATGGAACTTAAATGATTATTCCACAGGTAACTTACATGAGTTGTCAATGGTTGAAGACAGACTATAGGTACAGGTGACACCACCACTACTTTTGCCAGTCGTAATGGTATAGTTCTGACGTACCAGGTATGGGCCATTCTTACAAACATGATCAAACCAAAGATTCTGTAGTGGCATTAGTTTATAAGCACGCCGTCTTTGAAGCTGTGCATATAATTATTGAGAAGATTCACACTCGATATATAACATTAAGAGAAGAACAAGTATGATTGTGACAACAATCAATCAAAATGGCATGATTTGACCATGCAAGCATGGTCACTCCATGTGACCTGCTTCATTTTGTACTGAACATATTGCTCTCTGCTCAGCTCAAATGTGTTCTTCAGAAGTGTTGGACGCCATATCACTAATTTTTACAATGGGATGAGTTAATGTGGACGATGATATACCTTCCACCATTATCTGTAGTGACTCACATTTATCACGAGAACACGACTGGTTTAATAAAACAATTATTATTATAACCAACTGTACCAGTGTTTGTTTTAATGTGCTTTTGTTTGACTGTGCTAATGACAGCTATATTGTGCTGCCATTCTTATTCTTACACTTTGATTGTGACTTCGCACGAATTCGGTTACGTTCTGCAACCAAGCTTTTATCCTGGCACGATCTCGGTATCCTTTCGATGCCACGAGATCGCCAGAGAATATATCTCGATTTGGTCTATTAATTGCCTTCTGATATTTGGCTTCTCGGGGATTTTATGGATTTATTTGGTTACGTTCAACATTCGCCTTCCGATTTATTTGGCACGCAATCCCTTGTAGCAGTGTTCGTAGTTAATCTCGACTCGACGCCACGCTACACATGTTACAGATTAGATGATCACGACATGACAATTCCTCAATTTTAGAGTTAGGTCTATTTTCATAATAACGGAGATAAATGCACTAATACGACATTAGTCCATAATCTCACACATCTGTCCGAAGTTGCTGAATGGAACGCCGCAGTT